TTCTGGAAGATTTCCTAAAAGGCCACTTGCTTTCTAAAAATTGAACTGAAAACAGTAAAACAAGGTTATTAAAGAGCTGTAGCTGTGTCAGACACAGTTTTAAACACAACCTTATTTAAACAAGGTCACTAAAGCTCTTCTGTTAACTCTCCACATCCCCACTCTTTGTGTTGACATTAAGTTAAGGAGGTGGCTTATATCATGGAACCAAGGTAAGCAGGGTGTCTAAAAAATGAGACTCCTTGTTCAAAAATGGTTCAGCTGGTCAATGTTGGGGTTTAAGAAGATAGAAGAGGAAGTGAAGCCAGGAAGGTACTGTCCATCAAAAGAAAATGGAGGAGGGGCTGGCCCTGTGGCGTATTGGTTAAGTGCCGTGTGCTCTGCTTCGGCCGCCCGGGGTTCACAGGTTTGGATCCCGGGTGCGCACTGACGCACTGCTTGTCAAGCCATGCTATGGCGGTGTCCCATATAAAGTAGAGGAAGATGGGCATGAGTGTTAGCCCAGGGCTGATCTTCCTCACAAAAAACAAAAACAAAAAAAAAGAAAATGGAGGAAACTAAACCTCTAAGGTGCATCTGAGTTCCAAGAGCAGATGGAGTAGGAATGATGGTTGTGAAGGAGCCATATAGAGACATGACTGTAGTTAAACAGGGAGATACCAGAGTTTAACGTTTTTGGGGCGGGACATATTTGTTGCTTTATGCGTAGGTATTCTAAAAGCAGTTAAGGAGAAAAGAAATGTACACTGATATTATGATGTTGGATGGTGGTGCATGATATTTGTATAGGGACTTACAATTCATAAGACATCTTTATGGACATTTCATCATTTACTATATATATCTCTCTACCTAGCTGTTTCTTCCTTACCTCAATTGTAAATTGAAAATTTCAAGATCCCTTCTGAGTCAGACTGTCAAATGCTTTTGGTAGGTAAATTAAATGTTATTTTCCCACTTTGCATATGAATAAAATCAGATGGCAGACCCCAAACCACCTGGCTATTTGTGGTAGAGATTGGACTCTGACCCATAATTCCAACTCCACTACATTGTAATTTCTGTTCCAGTTTAGGCTTCTGCTAACTCGTGCTCCAGAGGAAGTGGAAAATCCAAAAGCTTAAACTAAGGGTAGTTTAATAAAGACCAGTGGCAGCAGGATAATGCTATCTTGCAGAAAATTATACTAACAAGAATGAATTAAGATTTTAAGATAAATATTTTAATAACATTTTGTGAGGGAAAAGGTAGTTATTTTTTATCATGTGCAAATAATTCCTTAATTTTAAGGTTTTCCATAAACATTGATTTGATAAAACTTCCAATCCTTACATTTAACCATGCTGTGTGCATGGGACTTGAAGTGGCATTGACCATAGCATTCAAGCTCCTATTTGGAACCAGGAGAATGGAAACTCGCGTGTTTGGAAACTTGCATGTCTGTCTCCTCATCCAGACTGAGTTCCTTTAATGGCAGATAGTGTTTCCTTTTACCTTTTTATTCTGCATTTATTTCTGTGAACTTCCCTCTTAGAACTGCTTTTGCTGTATCCCATTTTGCTAAAGCCCCAATTTTTGCAACTGCCACCCAGGGGACACCTCCAGATCACTTGGCTCTGGTGGCCAGTGGTGCTTCTCCTTGCAGTCCCACAGCACTGTATGTATTTGCATACTTTTAAAAGCTCTGTCTGCTGTCTGTTGGTCTGGCTTTCAATCAGTCTGAGTTTAGGTGCTTACTGAGATGCTCCCCTTTGGGACACTGATAGGCCTTGGTAGTTGGGACCCTTAACTTCTGGGAGCTATTGAAAATAAAATAGGGGGCCGGCCCCATGGCTTAGTGGTTGGGTGTGCGCGCTCCGCTGCTGGCGGCCTGGGTTCGGATCCCAGGTGCGCACCGACGCACCGCTTCTCCGGCCATGCTGGGGCCGCGTCCCACATACAGCGGCTGGAAGGATGTGCAGCTATGACATACAACTATCTACTGGGGCTTTGGGGGAAAAATAAATAAATAAAATTATAAAAAAAAAAAAAAATAAAGAAAATAAAATAGGCTGCTTGGACACGCATAAAGCTTTGAGAGATGACAAAGAGCTAGAGCAGGGTTGAATGACAGCGTTCATCTCCTACACGAGGCCATTCCTTCAAGACTGGGAGAGGTGGTTGTTTCATCTAATGCATAGAAACCAACACAGAGAATCAAGCAAAATAAAGAAATAGGGGAATATTTCCTAATGAAAAAACAAGATAAAACTTCAGAAAAAAACTTCAATGATATGGAGATAAATAATTTACCTGGTAAAGAGTTCGAAGTAGTGGTTATAAAGATGCTCACCAGATTGGGGAGAAAAATGGATGAACACAGAACTTCAACAAAGAGATGGAAAAATATAAGAAAGTACCAAATAGGAGTCACAGAATTGAAAATACAATAATTGGACTGAAAAATACACTAGAGGGCTGCAACAGCAGAGTAGATGAAACAGAAATAAGTGTCAGTTAAACTGAAGACAAGGCAGTGGAACTCATCAAGTTAGAGCAACAAATAGAAAAAAGAATGAGTAAGAAGTAAAAATAGCTTAAGGGACTTATGGGACAACATCAAATGGACTAACATTCACATTCTCAGGCTCCCAAATGGAGAAAGAGAAAGGGGTAGACTTCTTACTTGAGAAATAGTGGTGAAAACTTCCCTAACCCAAGAAGGAAACAGACATCCAGATCCAGGAATCCCGGAAAGCTCCAAATAAGATGAATGCAATGAGACCCACTCCAAGACACTTTATAAGTAAAATGCCAAAAGTTACTGACAAGGAGAGAATCTTAAAAGCAGCAAGAGAAAAACAACTGGTTACGTACAAGGGAACTCCCATAAGACTATCTGTAGATTTGTCAACAGAAACTTGGCAGGCCGGAAGGATGTAGGACAAGATATTCAAACTGCTCAGAAAAAAAAAACAAAAAACCCTTCAACCAAGAATACTCTACCTGGCAAGGTTATCATTCAGAATTGAAGGAGATATAAAGATATTTCTAGACAAACCAAGCTAAAGGAGTTCATCACCACTAGACTAGCCTTAGAAAGAATGTTAAAGGGATTTCCTTAAGTTGAAAAGAAAGAGCGCTAACTAGTAACAGGAAAACATATGGAAGTGTAAATCTCACTGGAAAGGTAAATATATAATAAAGGTAGTGGGTCAATCACTTATAAAGCTTGTATGAAGGTTAAAAGGCAAAAGTAGTAAAAAATAACTGTAACTACAATAATTAGGTAAGGGATACACAAGATCAAACGATGTAAAATGTGACATCAGAAACTTAAAACGTGGGGCGAGGGTAAAAATATTGAGCTTTGGAATGTGATCAAACTTAAGTTGTTGTCAACTTAAAATAGACTGTTATAGATATAAGTTGTTATGTATAAGCCTTATGGTAAACAGAAAGCAAAAACTTATAACAAATACACAAAAGATAAAGAGAAAGCATAACAGTAAAGAAAGTCATCAAATCACAAAGGAAGAGTGCAAGAGAAGAAGGAAGGAACAGAGAGGAAGTACAAAAACAGCCAGAAAACAATTAACAAAATGGCAATAAGTACAAACCTATCAATAATTAGTTTAAATATAAGAGGACTGGACATTTTTTAAAAGTTCACTAGGCGATTCTGTTGTGTAGCCAGGATTGAGAAATACTGTAGAGGAAGGTAGTAGACTAAATTGTTTTAAGGAAACTTTGTCATCATCGCCTCTTCGCTTGGACCATTTCATAATTTCAACTTATTGCATAACCAGAGGTTCTTAATGTATTGCTTATGTTTGATTGGAAATTTCTGTCATCTTTGACCACTATGTTAATGTTACCTTATTAGGAGTGAAACACAACCAGCTGTCTCTAGATAAAGAATCACCAAGTCTCCCGTAGTCACAAACATGTTTTAGTGGTTTTTATATTAGAGTTCAATTTTGAAATATTTTTGGAATAAATTAGACCACTGAGAGAAACTATCCATAGCACATTAAGCTGTTTTTAGTGTTTAGTGTGAAGGGACTGCTCTTCAGGTGCCTAAATTGTTTGCATTGATTTTAATGCTTCATATATCCACAGAGAAGGGGTTTGTGTTTCCTTTCTCCCCATTGATTTTCTGTCTTCAAGTGGTGGTCTTGGATTCACTTGAGAGAGTTTTAACCTTCTCTCAGTTCTTGAGGACATACTAATAGATATAAGTCTTTTGGTGTGAGAGTGAGTTGAAACCTTTAAACTTTAAAAATAAATAGCCCTATGCTTGTTAGCCTCTAGTTTTTTTCTTGCCAGTTAATTTAAAAAATGAACTACTTGGTGATATTATTCTATCTTACTTAAGGCTGACTCATCCTGTAGTAGCAGTCCTTATATAATTAATATTAATAGTGAATTAATGATTTAATATAGTATTGCTATAGATGGAGGCTCTATTTGGGTTGTATAATGTCATAATATATTTCTAGGTGCCAATCAGAAATAGCAAAGATTTTTTTACATTTTACTTTTCTCCTACTGAAATGTGGTAGTGGTGGGGAGATAGGAAACCAAACATGTCTTTGAGTGGCATTAGCAGCATAAAACTAGGATTTTTGTATGGGAGTTAGATGGTGAAGCAACTGAAATTGCAAAATCTTGTACCTTTTCTGAGAAAAAGATCTAGAGCTTTCTTGTGTTTTAAGAGGTCTCTGGCCTCCAGTATATTGAGAATCATTGAATTGAGAAAGGACAATGTGCTTTTTTGCTGGATTGATTGGGGAGTTTCATCGTGTGTGTGCATCTGTGTGTCTGTGTATGAATGTCCTGTGAAATCATAAGATACTCTAGGAAGTTGTGAATTTCGTGACACTAGTATATTTACAAAAAATGTACTCTTGGCAGAGGATGCTTTACTGGATTACCTCCAGAGGTTTCTTTATGTTCTCTGATTCTGAAATTTAAAATGATGTAGAATCATTGATAATTGATTTTTTTTTTCCTTGTAGAATTTGCCATCTGCTGTAGTAACTCATGTTCTGGATCCTCAGCCTGGAGAGAGGATTCTAGATTTGTGTGCAGCACCTGGAGGCAAGACAACACACATTGCTGCATTAATGCATGATCAGGTGAAACTGTCTTCACAGCAAAACTACTCTCAACGTATTACATTTTTCAGTGATGAAGGGGGAACTATACGTAACTTATTAAACATTATGCAGACATTCATAATCTGATTTAATTCAGATTCAGCCAAAGTGAAGACTGTTATGATGTCAGCCATCACATATTAAGTTTAGTAGATAATTATCATTTGTGAAGACTCTCAAGACCTTCTTGAATCCCAAATTTGCTAATACATTTATAAAATAGAATTTTTCCCTCATAAAATTAAGTTTAAATGTTTAACATTTAAGACATCTTTTCACATTCATAATTATAAGACTTGATACTTTTTAAACTAGTAAAATAGATTCTGCCACTAAAAATTAATTGACGCTATATTATTAAAGTGTCAAAATAACATATTGTAGATATATATACATGTACATATATGATACATAAATATATATGCACACACACATATCGAACATACGTGTGTGTGTATTCTTCTTGGGTTTTATAAAAACCTCATGATCTTGCTTGATTATAAAGCCTGCTTCATTGTCACAAAATATGAGTAAGTCTGTCCTTGGATAACTTTAGCTCAGATTTTACTGCTTTTTTCTATGTATGCATATTTGCCAATGCCTGTTTCTTTCATCATGGTCTATTTTGATCTGTGTTCAGAACTCACCATGGCCTCATAACCATTCTATACTTCAACTGAGATTCTTCAGCTCAAGAAGGATATGGCCAGTTGATCCTATCTTTCCTGTTTGTTTCAAATTCCATAAAACTAAGTGGTTCCTAAAATACTTACACATGCTAGTATCTTCACCTACACTAGCTTCCTTGACTTGGAGTCCTATTTTAATTGATCGATTGGTTAATTGATTGATTGGTAGATTGATTAAACAAATATTTAGTCAGTACTTACTATATGCCAAGTCCTGGTGATACAGCAATAAACCACAGTGACCAATATTTCTTTCTTCATGGAGCTTACATTCCAGTCAAAGGAGACAGATAATAAACAAATAAATAAAAGATATGGCATATGAGATTGTGATAAGGGCTATGGTGGAAAATAAAGGAGGGTTAGGGGAATTGGAAATATTGAGGGGAGGGAGAGTGAGTTTGCAGTTTTAAATAGGGTGGTGAGGGAGATCCACACTGTGAAGGTGGTTTTTGGGGAAAGACTTAAAGGTGATGAACAATATGGAGGTCTGTGGAAAGAAGGTTCTAGCTAGAGGAAACAATAAGTGTAAATGCTCAGAGGCTGGAGGGTACCTGACTTGTTTGAGGAACCTCCGTGGTTTTGCTGAAGTTGACTAAGTGAGGAGGAGAGTAGGAAGAACTGAGATCAGAGGGGTAGGGCCTAGTGGGGAGGGGTGGGGAGGAGGTTTGGGTAGAGCAGTTTTGCAAGGACTGACAGGACTTGAGTTTTACTCAAGTAATGGGAAGTCGCGGGAGGTTTTGGGCAGAAGAGTGACATAAGCCTACTTACTATTTAAAGTATCGTTCTGGCTGCTGCATTGAAAACAAGCTGTAAGAGGGCAAGGGCAGAAGCAGAGAGACCCGTTAGGAGACAGTAATTCAGGGAAAAGTCATGGAGGTGGTAAAAAGTGGTGAGATTCTGAATATGTTTTTCAGGTGGGCTCTTAGGAGCTGTTGATAGACTGGATGTGGGTTGTGAAAATGAGAGAATAATCAAGGTTGACTCTTAAGGTTTTTGGCCTGAGGAACTGGGCAGATAGAGTTGCTGGATATGGATGACTATGGGAGGGGCAAGTGTTGTAGGGAAAAATCAGAAATTTAGTTTTAGATATATTAAAGTAAAGTGTCTGTTAGACATCAAAGAGATGATATTGAGCAGGCAACTGAATAGTTGAGTCTAGAAGACAGGAAAGAGGTCTGGATTGGAAATATAAATTTGGAAGTCGTCAACTTATAGATGATGTATAAAGCCATCAAACTGATGTGGGTGGCAATAGAAAGTAGAAGAAGACAGAAGCTTGAGCCTCATGGGTACTGGATGCCAAGACTCAGAGGCTGGGGAAATGAGAAGGAATGGCCAGTGATGCAGGAGGAAAACCCGAGGAGTGTGATACCCAGGAAGCCATGTGAAGAAAGGGGTTGAAAGACGATGGTGAGATTCGCTGTGTCAAATGTTGTTGCTAGGCCACATAAGTTGAGCACTGGGCTCCCAGTGGATTCAGCACCATGTAGGTGATTGGTGACTTTGTCATGAGCAGTTTTGGTGAGTGGAAATGCTTGCTTGGGTTGAGAATAAGAGGAATCAAAGAAAATGAATGGAGAGTACTTTTTTGGGGGAGCAGAGGTTGTTTGTACAGAAAAGCAGAGAAATGGGGCAGTAGTTGGAGGTGAAATTAGGGAGATCTCTTTTTGTTTTTGGGGTGTTTTTTTGGTGAGGAGGATTGTCCCTGAGCTAACATCTATTGCCAATCTTCCTCTTTTTGCTTGAGGAAGATGGTTGCTGCACTAACACCTGTGCCAATCTTCCTCTATTTTGTATATGGGACACTGCCACAGCATGGCTTGATGAACGGTGTGCAGGTCCATTCCTGAGATCCAAACCCGCGAACCCTGGTCTGCTGAAGCTGAGTGTGAGAACTTAACGACTACGCCACCAGGCCAGCCACAGGAGTTCTTTACTTAAGATGCGAGAAATAACAATGTTTGTATGCTAATGAGAAAGATGCATTAAAAGGGGAAATTGGTGACACCAGAGGGACCAGGGGAAATTGCTGGAACAATATCTTTGAGTAGGTGAGATGAGTTAGTATTTGATGCACAAGTGGCTTTAGATGGTAGCGTGAGGCAGTTTATCCATGGAAATAGGAAGGAAGGCTGAGTACATGGGTGCAAATGTTGGTGGGCTGGCAGATATGGTTAGAGACTGGAAGTTCTCTCCTGGTTGTTCCAGTTTTCTTAGTGAAATAGAAAGCAGGGTTATCAGATGAGAATGGGGCTGGGGGAGGAGGTGGTAAGAGTTTTGAGAAGGTATGAAATATTAATCTAGGTAAACGGGAGTGAGAATGGGCTATGGACACCCTGCACCAAGGGCCCTGTGAATACAGTGGTCGTGAACTTAAAGTAAGATTAGTTGGGACAGTGATGTGCTCTTTAGTGGTATATGGGTAGGCATGAAGTTGGTGAAGAATTGGATTTAATCACAGCTGCGTTTTTGTTATGTATATATGCAGGACACAGAAGCATGAGAATTGAGGATGTATGTATGGGAGTGATTGTGATGTGCCATGGACTCTAAGCTGCGTAAAGAGCATAGCAAGGACCATGGAAAAGTTAGGGCAGTGGATTTGTTCTTTTCTAAATTAGCTCAGATTTATACAGTGGTAGGAATTCTTATGTGCTTGGGAAACTCAGCAAGTTTCTTCACGATACTAATTTATAAATAAGAAAAAATTACCTATTTGAGATGTAAGACTTTCTGGCATAGAAATACACCTCCAGAAGGCATAGCAAAGCCCTTCTACTCTAGCTAATTCACTTGATAGAAGGTACACTCTATGTGCCCCCACTCCCAAACATGCCAGGTGATGGACTTTATCAGGTGATCCATTTTTGATCTATATTTGATGATTCTTAGGACGGTCAAGTGATTTATAAGCAGTCTTGCACAGAAAATAGTAGGAACTTTTACTGTGTCAAGATGAAATTGTAGCTTTTTCCTTTCATTACTGCAAATCATTTTAATTATCCAAAGACTTCTGCTGAAAATTCACATTACTTACACATTAGTATTTAACTTTAACACTATTAGAATTTCTGAAATATTTACAATGTCACAAGCAGGGGGATAAAACATAAATATAAAAATTTATATTTTCAGTAAATACATTGAAGGGTTAAACCTACTATCTCTGTGCTATATATATGTTTGTATGTACACATACACTATATATACACTGTATAATGTGTATGTATGCACTCTGTATATACACACCACACACATGTACACACTCTTGCAGTAGCACTAGTATAACTTTAGTGAGTAGCCTTAAGTAACTAAGAAAGATCTCCGATAGAAAGAGATTGTTGTTTAAATTTGGGGGAATTAATACTCTTGGTTCATTGGAGAAGATATACTCGGCTGTTTACTTACACTCTTCTTTGTCCAAAAAGAATTTAAGGTGGTAACAGTAAAAACTCTTTAAGGAAAAATGCACTAAATACTACCAGTGCACAAAATGTAGAACACAAAACAGAAGGGTTCATTTTATGGAGTTGTGGTGTTTAATGCAAATCATTTTTCAGTTTACCTGAAAGCTTAAATGTAAAGATTATATGTTTTGAGGAAGTGATAATAATTCCCCCTTAACTTAAGGTTTGATACTTACTGTGTTTGCATAGAGGTATTTATCCATAGATATTTTATTCTGTCTAGTAAGATGTCTTTCCAAAGAGAGTCTGGATAGTGTAGGTGTATCTGTTTTCTGTTGGTTTTATAGTGCTGTGTAAATAGGACCACAAAACCTTGGTGGCATACAACTAAACATTTATTCAGCTCGGGAGTCTGGGATTCAGCTGAGCCCTGCTAGGCTTGCTTGTGCAATCAGCTGTGGGTTAGCTAGGAGTTTTGATGATCTTGGGTGGGCTCCTTCACTTGGCTTTGGCTGGTGTTGGCTTATCTAAAGTGACCTCAGCTTAGACCACTAGAGAGCCCTGCCTCCAGTCCGTGTGTCTCTTCTCCTCCTGCTAGTTCCAGGGGGCTAGCCCAGCAGAGGGCAATCGTTGAGGGTTGGCAGTGGTAGAGGGCAAAACCGAGCAAGGCCAGCTGTTCAAGTGCGTTTCACATCTCTGCTTGCAACACATTTACTCTCATCACATTGGCCAATGCAAATTGCGTGGCTGAGCCCAAGTCGAAATAGCAGGGTATTGCAAGGAAAATGGCAAAGGATGAGGATATATGGAGAATTGAATTGGAGTTAGGCAGTCTCCCACAGTGGGCCAGCAATGTAGAAATGAACAGCCTGAATAGAGATATGTAAGCCAGAGTGAATTCTAGTTTTTGTTGCTGTTTTAGATTTGTTGTTGTTTGTTTTTGATAGTTAAGCAAATTTTGTCTAAGTGTGGCTTCTTGTCTATATTTTTGTAAAAGTAGCCTTCAGCCAGTGGAGTTAACCCCTTCACTGTAGTACCGTTGAACCTTATCCTTGTTGTTTTTGCCTACTTTTCCAGTTCAACTCACTTGAAATGGTTTTCCTGTTGTGAGAGTATTAATTAGAACCATGTCTACTGCTAAACCTGGTTTCACATTTAGGAACATTGTCAGCAAATTTCTAGTATTGTATTGTATGTAATTGATGCATATATCATACAAGGACAGTGTATATAAAAGGAACAAAAGCAAGAAAATACATTGAAAAGTTAATTTCACCATCTCTGCAATATCGTGTCATAGTATGTTTTAAAATATCATATGAATGTCACAATGCATTTGTAAAAGTGTGGCCTCTTGTCTTCATTGGCTTTGACTTAACTGAAGTGTTACCATATAAAAATATTTTTGAACTACTTTTTACGCCAGTCCAGAACATTTTGTGGTGACACACTGGCGTATGTTCTTCTGTCTTTAGTTGTCAGAATTCACATGAATTTTATTAGGTGTATAGCTCAGAAAATATTGAGATGAGGATTGATTTTACAAGTAATATTGAACTGTATCTCACAGCACTAGGAGGCAGATGTCTCAGAACATTAGTTCATGCTCTTCTGGAGGTGAGCAAGGCACATCAAATTAGTGATTTTGAATATTTACCTCCAATGGATGTTTTTGTTTCTTTAGAAGATTGCAAACAGTATTTTTGGTTTTGAGTTTTGTTGATTAAAAGTAGTGGGGCATTATGAGAAAATTAATTGTCTGGCAAAAATGTGTTTTTTCAAAGGGGAGACTTAAGTATTTGATGTAAATTTGATATACATTTGGTTAATGAATTCAGCTTTAAAACTAGGGGTAGGAGGAAAGTGGGAAAGACCGTGATTTTTAACGTATTTTTCTCATTATTAATAGTTTTCATGATTGCTTTGGATTTACACTTTTATTTTTTTTTTTAGGGAGAAGTTATTGCACTGGATAAAATATCTAACAAAGTAGAAAAAATAAAGCAGAATGCTTTATTGTTAGGGTTGAATTCCATTAGGGCATTTTGCTTTGATGGAACAAAGGCGCTTAAACTCGATACGGTTAAGGACGCAGAAGGTGAGTTAAATTTTATCTTTTATTTTTTAATTTTTTTTATTCTTTATTTATTTTCTATTTTATTTTAATTTTTTGTTTATTACAGTAACATTGGTTTGTAACATTGTATAAATTTCAGGTGTACATCATTATACTTCTATTTCTGCATAGATTACAT